ACGAGCTCTGTAAATGTGCCAAGCTGCATTCCTTAGTGACATACGTTTGCGGGTTCTACATCTGTTGAAAGACGAGTGATCGGTGGAGCGAACCCTCTTACTTACTGAAGCAGCTGCGATCGGATTTCTAAAGCGCTCAACAAAGTGAACCCATGAACTATCAGGTGAGTCACCTTACAAAAAGTATGGTAACAAGAGCACTTAACCCTAGTGGGGTGTCTGCATAGGTCCTGCCAACCATGAGTACCTCATTTGTAAGTACGAGATCTAGTGCCGATGGTTTGTAGTCAGCTCTGTACCTGATAGGCGAAGTGATGTGATTGTAGAGCGGAATACTTGTGATTAGGTCTTGCAGTTCGGTCCTCAGTGTTTCGCGGGGGGATGCCGAGGACTCCAGGTCGTGTAGGTTGAAATCGCCGGAGATAAGAACGTGGACGTAAGCTCAGAGTAAGCATTTCGTCAGTGATGATATTAGGCCGGAATGCATCTTTGGATTGGAGGATGGCGCGATATACGACTGCCACAAAGCAGTTGTCATTGTCTGAGAGGCAAACGGCACCATAGCGAATCGGTAACCAGCGTTTTCGGATCATACAAGGGTTCGCAATGTAAATCGTTGAGATAGTATGGGATAACACCACATCCCCTGCTAGAACGATTGTGTCGGAACGACGACATTCCATGAATCGCGATCTCGGCATCCGTGACCTCTGAGTGCAACCAAGTCTCGGTTATGGAGATGAGATCCTAAGCGTTTGTTGTCTGGCACAACCGAAGCTCGGCGATTTTGCTGAGGAGGTCTTAGGCATTTGTGTACATGCAGGAAAGTATTTCAGTTCTCAGCAGCAATCCGATAGAGTTGTGGCTAGGATGAGAGGTTGTGTCGACCGCTGTGTGGTCGGCCGCTAGCCGTTTTCTTGTGGTATTATCGGCGAGTCGCTTGGAGTTGGATTCGGTGACATCGTAATTAGCCCTTTTGGCAACTCAGGTAGCACTATACATGGCAGTGGTTGCAGGATTGTATAGGAATATCCTCAGTTCCTTTAGACACGCTTCCTGTGTGAATTTCGGATGGAAACCCCACTTCGTTCGCCTGCTGCTGTGGTGTTTTTAGTCAGACGACAGTTTCGCTCGACGCTTTTAACTGGAGGTCGGTTGGCAGTCCGTTCCGAAGTGAATGCCAGTGTTACAGTTGCATAAGTATCATCTGCCTAGTTTGAAGCACAACCTACATTAGCTTTGAACCGCACCCTTTGTAGCTTTCTGGTCTTGGCTGCCTCAAGAGAGAAGTAGCTACAACGTCGTTCAAGAGCGCCACTGCTCCTGGTCATGAGGCGTTGCTTCGCGTTCATCATGTTCCTGGGACTGGGGGACGAGGTGGACAAAAACGGTACTGGCTGCGGTGGTTAGGCGGAACTCTTCTAAACACTACTTCGTTCGCACCATGGAACGTCTAGAAAGATGCGGACCAAACAGGATCCGTTCTGAAGACGACCAGTCGAAAGCAATACTGCTTCCACCTCATCGACAGAATTCAGCACAACCCGAAGAAACCTGGCTTCACCATAGTGCTTGGAAGTTGGGTGGCGGGTGATTCTCGTCAAGTTGGAGGGTTTGGTCGGAATACCGAACAGGTTATTGATGGTGTTCCATTGGCTCATGTCATCCTTATGTTTCCCCTTCAAATAACTTGATGTTGACTCCGGAACGTTACCAAATATTATAGATAAGGCAACCAAGTTTTCTGAGTAACTTTCCTGGGAATATGGACCGTGGTTGGAAGACGGAGAGGCTAGCTACACACCAATGCAGTATTGCTTCTCACAGTAATCATAGATGTGGTATTAGAAGAGGCAGGTGTTGGTTTTGGAGTGCTCTTTGATGCAACAACGGCCCAACTGCCACTGATATTAGCGTGTTTGCTGGATTTCGGCGAACCTGGTAGGAGAGTGGGTTTGGGGGAAATTGCTGAAATGGGATGGGGTTGAGGCGTTCGGGAACGATTAGACAATTTGGATCATTGGTGGTGTTAGCCGGAGCAACTTTATTAGTGTAACGCTTGGCGTTATGAAGTTGGCTTACAGTGAAGAGGCCTGTGTCGGACATTCTGCTATACTTGTTCCTACTGAAGTTACTTTGGTGCCAAATATTTTCTCTACCACGTCTGCCTGCCTGTCATACTTTTGGGACAGTGCAATTACGGTTTTAACTAGTGAGGTAGCGGTACACGCAACGCAGAACCAAAATGAGTCTGCTCTGATTCTTATCATCCTAAAGTCGCTTGGTTTGATTTTCCCACACCTGGAATGAAAATAGGTCGAGCAATTTCCACATGAAACCCCGATTTGGACCCACTTATTCCACGTTCCAAAGGTGCCTTAAGTCACCGCGGACAGGCCAATCGCGCTCATCGGATCACAGAATGTGGGCCCTGGATTGATTGTTCTGGCATCAAGGACAATCCACCGAGACAAACGGCTGTCGCAACGCCTCTCTCTCGCGGTCGCCCACAGATTGCCGGATTCGGCAGTGTGCACACAACCACACGAAGACGCGAGGTGTATTGATCGGAACGCGCCACGCGACGACGCACGCATGGTGTTGGGAGACGTCCCCAAGTGTCTAGAACGCAATATTTAGTATGTGATCGATGCAAAATGTCACGTAGCTTTATGTTGTGGCCTGTAGGAATCCTTGAAGGGTCGTTTGAGAGTCCTTAGCTTCTGCTTCCGAATGACATCAAAAGTATTCTCGAAAAACTCAGAAGTGATGTGATTCCATACGCGAAACTCGACAACCAATATGCCAAAACTGAGAACGGGAGTGATCCATACAAGCTAGATCCAAGAGATGTGGAGCACTGAGTAACGCTTAACGAACCGGTTCAAAGGAGCACATGCACAAGAAAGTGTGTGGGTAATTGGAAGGGACACAGCGGGTGGAGCGAGATCCGGAATAAAGTGGGGCCGTACGGCGAGCGCATACGATAGATTTCATTAATTCGCCCAACAGCGTTCCTGGTTAATGCAATAACTTTGAATAAGTGTGTTTTCTTTGGACATACAACTGCAGCCGTTTTTAAAAGGCATTGCTTCATGAAATATACTTCACTGCAAGATTTCCCACTCAGGGCGATCATACGGCTGAGTTCATAGCTAGCAGTAACGGAAGCCACATTCCCTTTCACAGGTTTTGCAAAACAGGTCTGTTGCTGTCTCAAGTTTACCTCCAACTCCGCGAGCTTTAAAACACGCATTACGCCCTCAGATCTATCATAAGGTTGATCGTTCGTTTCATAAGGTCTTTTCAAGTGGTACTTCTTCGGCATGGCAATGCCGTTGTTACAAATTACGCAATGCACCTTTCCACTCACAGCTGTGAAAAAAACACTGTAATTCCTATATTTCTTGAAACAATCGACCTTCTCCGTTCACTGTCCTTTGCTCTTAGCTGGAACAACACTGGCTACCATAAAGATTTTGTGGAATCTGAACAGTGTTCATTATATTGTAAGGAAACTACTCACTTTACCATAAACAGCAACAAAATTTGTAGGAGAGAATGAAGGTAATTTCGGTTCGTGTGTATTCCCACAAATAATCGGTATACACGGAGCAGTGGGTGCACGGCAGACAACCAATGAAGTCGCTGAGAGATAGGCATGGTCTAGACATGCTTACTGATGCAACGAATCAAGTCTCAGAGAGAGAGGCTTGAGCAGGACATGTTTACGGTCTAGATGCGGATTGTCAAACGACATCTAAGTTTAAGCTTAACGCATGCCTCGCAGCCGCATTCCTGTTTATGTTATTCTTTTAAAATCGATTAGTGGCTGGCTATTTCAAGTGTAAAAGAAATCTTGAATAAAGAACAGTATGCCGTTATCTAAGTTACCTTACAAAAAATGCAATTTTGGCCGCTTTATGACCAAATTATGACATCCTTTGAGCGGGATGCGTGTTTTACACCGAAATGAGTACACCATGGAAACAATGAGCAAATATGAGACCATGCAAAACCTATGCCAAATAACAACTTGTGTTCGCAACACATCTAGGTAAATGGATGGGGCTCACAAGTTGAAAATCAAAAAGAGGAAGTATGTCTTAGTGCAGCGTCTAGTCAGAAGTTTACTATCCATCAGATGGAGGTAGATTAGTATGAATTCAACTTGGATGCAGAGTCAGTAAATCGGTGTGAAAGGGATGGACGAAAAGTCAACTAGAATGCACAAAATAGAGATTAGGCATGCTCTGAGGACATTTGCCCCGAGAATGGCAGTTGTGACATGAAGTTAAACGGCTGGGAAGATCTCGGTAGTTACTAAGCATTCAACACTGTGTGGAAGCTAAGCGAAAATCACTGTTGTATCATTCAAGAGAGTAAAGAAGGAAAACATGAGAGCAAGGAGCTAAAAGTTGAGGCCGATGTCTAGAAGAGAAGTGGAGACGGTTGTCTGTTCAAAAAAGCGAAACGGTTAGTAATTGAGTTATACATAAGGTCAAGTGAAGACAACGCGTCCGAATTGACACATGATTATCAGAAGCGAAATTTATTGGAGATAACACAGGAATCGGCGCCGCAGATCACATGACGATGCAAAACATTAAATTCCAAAAGTGACCCATACTGTATGAAGGGTTCAAAGTGGAACAGAAATGTTTGCGAATGCAAATCGTTTCACGGGAACATGAGAGCTAAAATGTCCGTGACTTCGAACGTATCGGCAAAGATGTGAACAGTAAAAAAAGTGAATAATCCCCAACAGAGAGGGATCAGATTAGAATGGATGGGAGAGGGCCACACAGGAAATCAAGTAGATGAGATACTGGAGTATGCGTCAAAAACAGAAGAACATAAGGAATAAAAGTGAGAGTGTCGTTCGCGCTTCTTGATGCACGTCTCCGGAGAGAACAAAGTAGGATAGAAAGAATTAAGGAACTGTGAGAGTTTCAAGCATATGCAAGCATATGCAAGAAAAAATAATTCGGCAAACTAATGCTTCTCCGGAAAACGAAATGGATGACAATAACTTGGAATGGGGTTTGGTGATTGAGAGTTCCGTACGAATGTAATGAATGGACGGCTAGCAGCGAGTTTCGTATAGCCCACTTTTGCCGATGTAACGCACCCACTTGATCACATCATGATCGGAGTAATTCAGCTTCGACTCAAACACTTTCAGGAATCGCACTTTGAATCCCGAGGGAGCAAATGGAACCTGTAAGTATCGAAAATAGACGGTGAAACGGCATATAGGTAAGTGTATCAAAGTGAATTCCAAACAAAACTCTTACAAGGGCTATGGAAAGACACAAATGTAGTCATCTGAGTTGCTGAGAAGGTGAACAACGTCTGAATAAACAGGAAGCGAACGCCAAGTAAATCTTAAAAAAACTAGTCTCCAAGATTAACAATTGATCGTAACGCCGATGAAGCTTGAGAGTAGGTAGCTTGCCAAAGGTTTGTCTAAAACTTATCAGTTCAGAGAACATGGATCAAAAAATGTGGAACAATAGAGAATAGTGGCACGTTGCAGTTGAAGATAACTGGAACATAAACGTTAAAACGAAAACAATGTGAGAACAAAGACCAAAAATCGGCCAGATCTTGAAATTCAGAGTGCTGATTGAAGGTACCTAATTAATTTATTCACACATAGAAATGAATAAGATATCAGATACTTTTATCGTCATTCTGTCTGAGAGCGAGTGATATTACGGAACGTCATTTCACCGACACTTTCTGGTGCATAACTCGGGCATTTAAAGACAAATGGTATACGTAACAAAGCAAACTCAGCAAAATCAACAGCATAACTGGCCGCTTTCATGACTAACGAGGTTCCCGCATTCATATTCTTCCTTCGTTTCGGTCATGCAAACATTCAGCGCAACCAAATATTAACCAATCAGAGTAGACATCCAAGTATCTGTTTCCGTTCGTTTGCGGCAACCTAGCTGTGGGGTTCGTCAGGTAATTCCATCTCGTCCCTCTGACTGCATATTCCCTTCACAATCTCAATGATAGCATCCGATACACAGAAACACGGTTGATCGTAACAATTAAATCAGTCTAGTAAAAGTGTTATTCCTTGGAGTTTTCAAGGAATTGTTCTACCGATTTGATTGAATGCTCTGAGTATGCGGTTAGGTGTTTCAAGTGCTTCCAGTTTTTTAGACAGCTTGTAACTCGGTGCCCCGGATAATGACACGATAGGGCGAAGCGGGGCCCCATTTTTGTGTACCTTGGGCAGACCGTAGAACCGTGGTATCACTGAATCCTCGGGTTTCAGTTTCCTGTGTTCTAACTTCGTGATCTGTCCCATTTGTTCCAGTCTTGCTGCCAACCCAGTCTGTTTACATAGTGAGTTTTGGCTGCCTAGTTGCCCAAGCTTCAGCAAACTGAAGTAGGCAAGCTGTTGCGATCCTCCGATCACAAGCGCAAGTCGGAACGAATACGTACGGAAAAACGGAACAATCACGACGAAATCACGGCACAGAATCATAAGTGCAGGAAAATCCTACACCAGTCTATAGCCCCAACCCCGGAAGGAAAAGACAAAACCTCAGGTACGAGATCTATTCACACGCCAATACGGGGCAGACCAGGAAGGGATTAAAACTCGTGATTTATTTAGGTCATTCAGTGGCCTTGTCAAAGTAGCCAATCACAATGCTCGCTTGAAGCTGGAACAGATAGCGCGCACTGTCTAAAAATCAAAGTCCATGGTTTTGGCTGGTTCTAGTGTAGTTCTTGGGAAATGTGGCCATTTCCCAACACCTCCCCACTTAAGAAAACTCGTATCTAGGACGCCGGGGATCCAGTTGCAATGACTTTGTTGGACGGTGCTTCCGATTTGTCCATCTTCTAGGATGCAAGGAGACCCGTTCGGGCGGTGCATTTGGTGCCTGTTAGTGGGTTAGGGATGAGCCCGAACGTGTCTAGCAGCATTTCGATAGGCAATTCTTCCTCAGTGGCTGTAACGTCGTCATGGCGTGGGCGAAGTTGATTTTTGTCATTATGTCACTTGTGCGATTCAATCGTTACTTCATACTACAGAATCACGGCGACCAGCTACGGCTGCTGCAACCCATGCTGGATGACCTTGCCTGTAATCACCAGCGTAGACCAAATCACCAATTGAGAAGGTTTTCCCTGATGAGTGCACTGGGGCAGGTGATGACTTCTCCGACGGCAACATTGCATCGAAGATGGTGCGTGGTTTGTAGCCCATAAGGCATTCGGAAGGGGAGGATCCATTTAGTGTTGTAGGATTTGGAGTGTTCCTGCAAAGTATGAGAAATCCTGAATGATTTCATTAGTAGTTCTCTCCTCTCGCGTTTCCAAGTGGGCCCGTTTAATAGTGTCCACGAATCATTCGACCTGACCGTTTGATTGAGGGTGATACGGTGGGGTGCGAACATGGTTAATAACACTCCGCCGGCAGCTGGACCGCAGATAACGTCCTCCGGTCGGTTATTTTTGGCTGTGTTGACAAGATCACTTTGTGTTGGATTTCTTCGTTCATTGTGTAGATGCGCGGAGGACTTCGACAACAGGGAACAGCGGAAAACGACAAGAGCAAGAAAGGATATCCGACAGAGGCAGCGGAATCAGTCAGCATAACGCAGGCCCTACCGGACGAGTGGAAAAGGGACCGCGGGCGACGACGGGAAGAAAGTCTGCTCCCGGAAGATCTCAAACGATATTGGAGGAGAGGCCAAGAATTCAGACAAAGACGCCGATTGTTGTGCCCCAAGGAATGACTCCAAGCCGAGTGACGCCTGGGAGATCAAGCAAGTCGAGAGCCTTCGAACAAATCCAAGCTGGTCGGAAAGCGACGTACGGGAGCGGAGATATGAAGCAAAACAGGCGAAGCTGAGTTGCCGAATTGTCGCCAATTGGCGGGCGAAGGTGCCCGTCGACCGCATCGCATTTCTGGTGCGTTGTGGTGTAGAAATGTGACTATATGTGTGTGGGCGTGAGCGCGTGTGAGACGGATCGTGACGTGCGATCCAGATCGTGCTTTATTGCCCCGTCGTTCTTGCTACAATTGGAATTATTCCGTGGAAATTTAGATACAATTCAGTTTCACTTTGATTCTGAATTTTCCGACCAGAAAAACTTGTGTTTTCATCGCCATTTTCTCCAGCAATTTGTCGCCATCTTGTTTTCGGATTATTCCCAATGCCGAAACAATCACCCTGTGGTACTTGTTCCAAGATAGTCGGATACCGTGCAAACGCCCTCACATATGTTTTGTGCCAGGTTAAATACCACATTTCATGTGTCGGATTATCAGTTGAGCATTTTCATCGTCTTCGTGAAACCCAACACGATTTTGTTCAAACTTGATGTGTAAATTCCCGAAACAAGATACAGCCAGGGAGAGTAAACCCGACGTGTAGGCTTCATCATTCCGGTGCGAACAGCTCCGTGTGTTTGGCCCAACGACCTATCCCCAAGAGCCTTCAGATTTCAGCTCAGTCTTCCTCCTCTACCCGTGCAAACTCATCGGCAGGAAGTCCAACCGTTGTGAGAATCCCAGTTTCATCCGGCATAAATTATTTACCTCTGTTGTGTCCAACGGACAATGATGTCCCAGCAGATGAAAGTCTGAGTGCTGAAGACCAGTGGAAAGAACAAAGAACGAAATTACGAAGGGATGTTGGGCGGTTAACTTCTGGAAGTCAACAGTTAGTCAAACCACGTGAGGCTGGTAATATACTTCGTTCTGCAAGGTAAACCTCATCCGACCAGAGGCGTGATCTTCCACGCACCGGAGTCCAGTGATCCAGCACATCAAGTGCGCTACGAACACGATGTCGAGTTTTACAGAGTCTAATTCACAGACTTTTCGAAGCTGGTGATGACTCGATAACAGTGAAACAAATTATCCGTCTTGGAAAGTAAGGTGATCAACAAAATCGGCCTATGAGAATCACTTTTGTGGACGAAGCCAGTCCAAGACTGAGCATGTCCCGCCTAAGTAGGCTAAAAGGTTTGAAGATCCATGTTCGTCCAGACCTGGGCCCAGTAAACAGGGAGCGGCTTAAGTCTGCCATCATTTGGCTGAAAAGAGGTACGGGTGAGGGGGAAACCAATCTTCGTAGCTTAGATTTTCGGGTGTTTTCCAAGAATCTGCGAATCAGGATAAACAGGCTGCTCACATTTCAAGCACAGCTCCTGCTGCGGCCTGTGAGTAGCCTTCACAAACGTTTGCAGTGTTATGAACAAGCGCGATGATCGTTGTTTGGTTACTTCTGAGCGGCCAAACGTAGTGGGACTCGCAGAGACATGGCTGCATTCAGAGTTATACACCCCCGAACTTGAACTCAACGGTTACCAGTGCTTCCGATGCGATAGAGTAACGAATGCCCGCGGTGGTGTTTTGCTCTACATCCGGTCTTCCCTGCGTGGGAGACTTGTAAGCACCTACTGAGGCTATCCATTTTAAAAACATTAAAAACCTAGAATAAAATGTACTTATTGGCACAAAATTGGTTGCACGAAGCCTTTGTGATCTGAGTGCACGTTTTATCGGTTGGTGAAAATAACTTTCGGCATCATTGGGATGTCCGCCTAAGAAGTAACAGATATCAACCGAAACTAGTATTTAAAACTGTTTCATACGAGTGTATTTTTTGATCCAAAAGCTTGTGTTTTTGCTAGTTGTATCGCCAACTCTTACTAGTGAAGTGTCGTCGGATTTCGGTTTTCGCAAAATTGGACCTCGTGCCAAGTAACCGAATCAGCTGAAGTGCAGTCCAATCTCAGACATGCAAAAAAACCGACACCTCTGAGACTGCAAAGAGATTACAAGCAGTATTCAAGCATTTTGATGTGAAAGGAGCTTGGCAAAAACCATCCTCCGCCTTGTATAAATGATCACTCCCAAAGGAGGATGTTTCCAGATTGTCAAGCAATGCATCAATCGATTATTAATTTACATTAATTGGAAGGACTAGTAGCTGGAAATGGTAGAGCTGAGACAAAAACTTGACTGGCATCTCAGGACTCAAGAGTAATTTCTAGACAACCGAGCTAATAAGTTAAGGAAATTCAAACATCAACTGAGGTATTTTAAGACTAAGGATGATTGATGGCCACTAATGAACCTTGTCGCAGTGAAAATGATGAACAGAACAATTACAATCGTGATATCACTAAGATTGTACGATTAAGATCAGACACTAGTAGATACTGGCGAACCTGATG